CCATGGCTGTGATTTTCCCACCACTTTCAGCTGCTTGCTGACAAACATGTGTAGGGTTCCTGTTTTGCTAGTCAAAAGACACAACAGGGATGAAGGGTGAGGGTGCTGGCAGCTAAATACAAGGGCATAGTCAACACAGCCTAGAATGAGCTGGGAACTGAGGATGTTAGTGGAATGAGTGACATGAAACAGCAGTGGGGGAAAGGATTTGGAAGTCAGGCTGGGGCTGGGCTAAGATAATGAAAGGAGTGAAGACAAGTCAGAGAGCAACGTATGTGAGGTGGAAGTTTCTGAGCTGGCACAATGCTGGCAACAGGATTCCATGTGTGAGCATGAGAGGAGGAAGCTGGGAAGGTGAGGAGGTAGAGGGATAAGGGCAGAGTGGAGGCAGGCTACCTGCTTCCTGAAAATACTGACGGTATTACATACAGAGACGCCTGGAGGTTATAGGGAATGTTCTACTTACTATCTAAATCATCTTTAGAAATTCAGATGCATGCTAATTCTTGGAGTATGTATAGACTTGTGATTCACAGGGAAATGAACATTTATTGAAGACCTTTGTTTTGGATTTTTCATATATATTAAGTCATTTTCTTTTACACATATTGTTTCTGGGAGGTAATTATTACATCTTCATTTTGTAGACGAAGCAGTTGCAGCTCAAAGGTGATTAAGTAACTTGCTCGAGGTTACAGAGCTATAAAAATGGTGAGTTCAGGATTAAAACCTAGGTCTGCCTTACCATAAAACTGAAGATTCTTCCTATTTCTTAATTGACACCTTTAAAGAAAGCCTAATTCTTCTTAAATATAACCTCATTGACAGAAAGAAATATATTTTTTTCATTGTAAGGACTGTGGGATCTGGTCATTCTCTTCAAGGTCTAGCTAAATCCAAACATTAAGACTTTGGAAACAGCTTTTGATATAAATCTCTACATATATGGTTTTCTATGTCTATAGAACTGTACTGAGAGGATTCAGGACAAGGAAAAATGTTCCTATTGTTTCCTTTGAATATCTAAAGCTCTTCTGCACCTGATATAAAATAGGTAATTGAAGCTGATTAACTTTTTTATTCCTTCCAATGTGATCTGACTTTGTGTATTTATTAAAGCAAACACTGCATTCAGTTTTTTCTGGGGGGGGGGATGGGAATTTACAGATAAAGCACAGATAAGCCAGTCAGCTTAGAAATAATGCTAAAACCTTTATAAAATCAATTATCTATGTACCCTTTTAATCAAAGTAAGATGACAGAGATTTAAATTTGGTCTAAGCCTCAAAATCTGAGTACATATACCCAAAAGGTAAGAAAAACAATCATTTCTTAAAGGACCACTTTGAAGATGGTAGGAATTAATTTGGTAATTATTTTAATGTATTGTATTACTCAACATATCTTGGCAAATTATGGTCTTAATGAGAGAAATGAACAAAGATCTAACTAAATGTAAAGATACACCATGTTTATTGGCTAGAAGACTTATTATGATTAAGATGTTTATTTTCCTAAAATTGATTTCATAGATTTAATGTAATTCTAATCAAAATCCCAGAAAGATTTTTGGTGAAATCACAGCTGATTCTAAAATATGAGTGGAAAAGCAAAGGATCAAGAATTGCCAAAGAAATTTTAAAAAGAAAGTAAAGCTAAAGGCTTCATTCTGTGTGACTTCTAGAATTACAATAAAGGTAGATGAATCAAGACACCTTAGTATTGGTAACAGGGATCAACGGACCGGAAGAGAGAGTTGGAAATAGACCTACACATACACGGTCATTTGATTTTTGCTAAAGACAAGGAAAGTCAATTGTGGAACAGTCGTGAGTGATGCTGGCATAATTGCACACACACTAGAAAATGATGAACCTTGACCTCTATACAAAAATAACTTCAGACGGGTAGCACACCTAATGGAAAAAACTGTAAAGTGTCTTGAAAATAAATAGTAGAAAATTTTTTGACATTGATAAATGGAAAGATTTCTTAGAACACAAAAAACTAATTATAAAAGAAAAACTGATAAATTGGACTTTACCAAAATCAAAAATATCTCTTTGAAAGACACTGTTAAGAAGGTGAAAATACAAGCAACACAGTGGGAGAAAATGTTTATGAAATATATATGTGAGAAAGGATTTATTTCTTGAATATACAAATACCTCTCATTACTCAGTCCTAATACACAAATACCTCAATTTTCACAAGAGATGTGTACAAGACACTTCAGCTAAGAAGAGACATGAAGAAAAAATAAACAAAAGCAAGGTGCTCAACAGGATTAGTCATCAGGTAAACACAAATTGCAATCACAATGAGATACTGCTATATGCCAAGAGGAATGGCTTTCTAAAAAGTAGCCAAACCGTGGTGACAAGGATACAGAACAAATGAAATTATCACACTACCAGTGGGAATGCGAAATAGAATAGCCATTTTGGAAAGCAATTTGAAGACCACTTGGCAGTGTCCTATAAAATTAAACATGCTATTACCAAACAGACCAGTGTCCATTTATTGAAGAGAAACAAAACCTATGTTGGCATAAACAGCTGCATATGAATATTTACAGGGGTTTTATTCATAACTGCCCCAAACTGGAAAAATCCACATGTATAGGGATAAACAAACTGTTATATCCAAGCACTGGAATACTATCCAGTAATGAAAAGCAGTGACCTACTGGTATGGCAACATGGATGAATCTCAAATTAGAAACTGGACTGAAACAGCTGCCTACTGCATGATTCTATTTAGATAAGATTTGGGAATGGACAAAACTATAGAGACAGACTGAACATTTCAATGGTTGCTAGGGATTAGGGAGGAAGGGGGAATAACTACAAAGGGGCCTAGAAGAAATTTGTGAATTGAAAGGTCACTTCTATGTATTGACTATAGTACAAATGTACATGTTTGTCAAACTATACTTCAAATAACTTGATTAAAAAAAAGACAGATACAGGCAAATCAAGTCACAAAGACCTTGAATGATAAATGAACAAACAAAAAACAAAAGTCAGTAAGTAAAGAATTAAAAAGAAAAAACCCTAGGTATTAAAAAAACCTACTACTAAAGTCAAATAAGTGGAAAAATAGATTAATTCTGTGTGACTATACTTATTTTGTAAAATACTAGGAATGTAATCTGTAAGGAGGAAATTTGGGGAAGATTAAGTACTTTCATGGAAATATAGACAAATACTACACACACAAAAAAAATACATTCTAGACTCCAGGAAAAAATCTGTCTTGATATTCAAAACATTGATAAAGAGAAAAGCTAAAATAAGCGAAGAGATCAGAGATGTGCTCTGTCTAGGTGGGGACACTGGGGGTTGGGAAATGGCAAACCCACTGCCGCTTTGGCGGTACTTCACATTCCGGTCTTCTCCAGCGTACTGCGTAATTTACCTCCCAGATCCCTCAAATGGCTGTCCTTCCATTCATTCTGACAAGGGTTTATGGCTGCACTCAGTGGGAGCAACAGAGTAAAATGTGCTTGCTCCAGCTTACCTTGGAACCAGAATTTCTCTAGTTGGATATTAGTCATCTCCAACCGAGAATATCCAATGTCAAATTCCTAATTCTCTCACTAGTTTTCCCAACTCGGCAAATAGTAACTTCATCCACTCTTCTAGTTGCTCAGGGACCAAAAAACTTGGAATCTTCCTTGATTTCTTTTCTTCTCATACTCCACATTTAGTCTATCAGCAAATCCTATGAATTTTGCTTTTAAATTATACTACAATTTGGCATTTGTCACCAACTTTACTGATAACACCTGTCTTCAATCTTGATACTAACTTTACTGATACCACCATCATCTGTCCCCTTGATTAATCATTTATTTAATTTTTAAAATTAGTCTTTCATTTAATTAAAAAAATATCTGAGGGCCAACTACTGTTACAAATGATGAGGTTATGGAAGTAATTAAAACAGACCAAAATCTCCATCTTCATGGAGCTTATTTGATAGAAGAAAATTACTTCTAGGGAAAATGCTTATTACTTTAATAGCTTCTTAACTGATTTCCCTGCTTCTGCCCTTGTATTCCTACAGTCATTCTCAACACTGACTCTAACTAAAGTGATCCTCTCAAAAGGCAAGTCAGATGGTGTCATACCTCTGCTCAAATGTCTCTAATGGCTTACCATCTCAGAATAAGAGCCTACATTCTCACAATGGCTGAATGCTTTCACTTCCTTGCCTCCTACTGTCATGTTTACTTTGCTCAAGCCTCACTGGCTTCTTTGTTATTCTTTGACCATGTCAAACACAGTCCTGCTCCAGGAATCTGGCACGTGCAATGTCGTTTGCTCAGAGGCTTTTCCCTTAGAGACAGGCAGGACTCACTTCCTTCAGGGCTTCACTCACATGCTACCATCTCAGTGAGACATTCCCTGAGCACCCAGTTAAAGAATGCAACTCTTAATCCTAAATCCTCCAGAACTCCTTAGATCCCTTCCCTATCTGCTTTCCTCCATGGCACCACATACTCCCTGACATAACCTACATTTCATGTTTTATGTTTACTCTCTATCTCCCCTATTAAAATAGAAGCTTCTTCAATGCTTGGATTTTTCTTTGTTGATTTTTTTCTTCCCAACTATAAAACAAGTGTCTAGCATATGGTGGATATTTAACACATCTTTATTGAACAAACATCCTTAGCCATCCCTATGGAATCCAGTTAAGAACCATGTATGTTGGAGCTGGGTGTGACTTGACAGATCTTCTAGTCCTGTCTTCATCAGCACCCATAAGAGATAATCTGAGTGGGATGCAAGTACTATTTTCAGTTCTGTTACTAAGAATTGTGTTCCTTCCATTTAGAAGATCATTGGTAAGTGGGTTCTGTTGTCCCCACTGACCCCGCCTGGCATAGATTACCTACCTGCAGTCATCAGCAGGCCAGTGCCAAATAAGGAAACTGAGAGGTTAAGTGACTCATCAGGTTAAACACTGAGAGTGGCAGAACTGGGACCCATCCTGATCTGACTTACACACAGTGCTCCTCCTGGCAGTGCCCTCCTGCTCCTCGAGAGTCAGCTATGCCGAGTTGCTAGCTTCCATTACTTTATAAGGTATGTGTTATTTTCTACATGAGGTAAGGTTTTCATATATTTGTAGTGGGGACCCAGAATAAGAAAGTTATATTGATAAAACTTTCCCAATTAAAATAAAATTTCAGAACACTATATATAATCACTGAAATTCCTTGGGTTTAAAATGTTGACCTGAAAATCCTGGAATTATGTCTATCAGCCATTTGATGCAGGTGTTTTGGTGTGCATTGTTTATAACATCATTAAGTTCAAGTTAAGGGATGAAGAAACAGCAATTTTAATGAGAAAAAGTTTAGTGATTAACACTGAGGAAAGAAAGAAAAAAAGAGTGGAGGCAGATGTCAAAGGGAGAGTCCCTGCTTCTGTAGGTTTCCTGTACCTGGAAGGGCCGGAAGCTCCTCCCAACACAGTGCCACACCGCCCACAGTCCCTCTCCTGCATTGCCAGAGACCGCATGCACTTCTGCGCTAGAATCACAGTATATTAATTATGGGAGACACCTTGCTTAGGACCTTCATGACATCCGAAGGGATAACTTGGTGATCATTTCAGAATCATTGCTCTAAGTCTCCACTAAGCCATCCATCAACACAGGTGGGCTTACATAACAAACATACCTCACATAGTACCACACCAGGCATGAAGGGAAATGCTCAGGAACGATAAGCTTAGGTGCACATGTTACACCTCAACAGGCTGAGAGACCTAAAATAGACTTTTTAAATAGGGGATTTCTTGATTGCCTTAATTTTATGGGAATTTTTTGGTTTAAATTTCAGTCAATTATTTATTATGGAGGCATAAACTTGCAAAAACTTGACCTTTGACCTCATGGAGAATAAATAACAATCAAAAACCACAGTTAACTTACAAAACATCAGACAAGTGATTGTAGACTCAATTTTAGAAAATGTGTCACAAAAGTAGATCATAGATTTATTATTTTCAGAAAGTAGGTCTCCTGACTCTTACACCCAATGGTTTTTCCCTTGTTAGCTCTTGACTGAACCTTTTGTCTCAGAGTCCCCAGATCCTTGGCTTCACTTCTTAAATATATAATCTAGGACCCAAGAATAAACATTTCAAAGATAAGAAACTAGTACTTTGGATTCTGTCCCCCTTCATCTTCCCACTTTGTCAATTTCCAGTCTTTGCTGTTTATTTTCCCTATTCTTGATCAGAAGCTATAGATGTAAAGCAGTTTAGGAGAAACTTAGGACATTGGCAGGATGTTTCCTCTACAAATCACTGCTCCTCAAGCTCAGGAAGGCCCTTCATTTGCAGGAAGAGCCCAGAGTCCTGAGAACAGGAAGACGAACGGAACAGAGACCCAGAGACCTCCCCGGCTTGCGGAGGCCATCCTGCCACACCCATTACCATCCTAGGGCCCTGTCTACTCAACTGCCAACTCCATCTATTCTCTCCTCCTGTCTATTTCTTCCCTGTCCAGTTTAAAATCTACAGTCTATACTTGAAACCCTACCCCCACCATCCACCTGTTACATCTGTATGGCATGTAGAAAGTTGATTAGTTGCTCAGAGTAATCCTCTAAACACAACCACTGATCTCAGTATAAAATCAGTTCCTCTTCAATTACAGTGGTGCCCTCAACCTTACTTATCATTTTCTCCAGCTGTATTCCTAGTCAGCTGGCTCTATTTCACCACAAGCACCTATTTCAAATTTTCTTTGATGTCTTCAAACCTCACATCCTACAATTTCCCATCTTCCTTCTCAACATGTGACCACAGTTCCTACCCACAGCTTTCAGGCCGAACTTCCACCTTCCCACCATCTAACCTACTGTGTTCTCAGTGAAATAAGCTGCAAGGGTATTGGGGGCTGGATTTGGAGAGAAGTGTAAAGGCAGGACATCAGTAGGATTGCTAGGCAGCGCTGAGGACTTGTCTGAAGCTAGAGAAAGTGAGTTCGGTAACCATGGCTGTGATTTTCCCACCACTTTCAGCTGCTTGCTGACAAACATGTGTAGGGTTCCTGTTTTGCTAGTCAAAAGACACAACAGGGATGAAGGGTGAGGGTGCTGGCAGCTAAATACAAGGGCATAGTCAACACAGCCTAGAATGAGCTGGGAACTGAGGATGTTAGTGGAATGAGTGACATGAAACAGCAGTGGGGGAAAGGATTTGGAAGTCAGGCTGGGGCTGGGCTAAGATAATGAAAGGAGTGAAGACAAGTCAGAGAGCAACGTATGTGAGGTGGAAGTTTCTGAGCTGGCACAATGCTGGCAACAGGATTCCATGTGTGAGCATGAGAGGAGGAAGCTGGGAAGGTGAGGAGGTAGAGGGATAAGGGCAGAGTGGAGGCAGGCTACCTGCTTCCTGAAAATACTGACGGTATTACATACAGAGACGCCTGGAGGTTATAGGGAATGTTCTACTTACTATCTAAATCATCTTTAGAAATTCAGATGCATGCTAATTCTTGGAGTATGTATAGACTTGTGATTCACAGGGAAATGAACATTTATTGAAGACCTTTGTTTTGGATTTTTCATATATATTAAGTCATTTTCTTTTACACATATTGTTTCTGGGAGGTAATTATTACATCTTCATTTTGTAGACGAAGCAGTTGCAGCTCAAAGGTGATTAAGTAACTTGCTCGAGGTTACAGAGCTATAAAAATGGTGAGTTCAGGATTAAAACCTAGGTCTGCCTTACCATAAAACTGAAGATTCTTCCTATTTCTTAATTGACACCTTTAAAGAAAGCCTAATTCTTCTTAAATATAACCTCATTGACAGAAAGAAATATATTTTTTTCATTGTAAGGACTGTGGGATCTGGTCATTCTCTTCAAGGTCTAGCTAAATCCAAACATTAAGACTTTGGAAACAGCTTTTGATATAAATCTCTACATATATGGTTTTCTATGTCTATAGAACTGTACTGAGAGGATTCAGGACAAGGAAAAATGTTCCTATTGTTTCCTTTGAATATCTAAAGCTCTTCTGCACCTGATATAAAATAGGTAATTGAAGCTGATTAACTTTTTTATTCCTTCCAATGTGATCTGACTTTGTGTATTTATTAAAGCAAACACTGCATTCAGTTTTTTCTGGGGGGGGGGATGGGAATTTACAGATAAAGCACAGATAAGCCAGTCAGCTTAGAAATAATGCTAAAACCTTTATAAAATCAATTATCTATGTACCCTTTTAATCAAAGTAAGATGACAGAGATTTAAATTTGGTCTAAGCCTCAAAATCTGAGTACATATACCCAAAAGGTAAGAAAAACAATCATTTCTTAAAGGACCACTTTGAAGATGGTAGGAATTAATTTGGTAATTATTTTAATGTATTGTATTACTCAACATATCTTGGCAAATTATGGTCTTATCTGACATGGAGTCCTTAGTTAAGTTTTTTTTTCTGTCAAAATATTAAAGGTAAGAATCAAATATGACTGTTATTTGAGGTACAGATGACTACTAAGAGCGTATATAAGGGTTGTAGATAGCAGTATGTGTGTTTTATAAGTGATATCTTTGAGTTGATATTTCCGTAATGCTGAAACTTCCTCCCTGACCTATTTGCTATCTCATTGACCTTTCTGGTGTTGGGGCAGCAGGAAATGAATGATTCTAAACTATAACAAGAAGGACCCATGGAGGTCCCACCTAGCAGATCCACAACTCCCAGGCTAACAAATACAGAGAACCTTTTCTTTGGGAATAACTGCTCTGCTTTCTCTATCAGTAAAAATTATTATTAATGCCCAGTTGCACATTTGTTTTAAATGTTGTAGAACATAAATCAAATAGGCATGGGTCTTATCTGTTAAAGTTAATCTAAACGATGATCTATGCTTTAAGAAGTCTATAAAGAATCCAGTTTGAATTTTAAAGACTATCAAATTATGCAGGATGGATTTCAGTTATTATGTTGGAGAATATAAGTGATGATTTTCCCCAAAGACAAAGAATTGAGGTGTTGTCTAGGTAAAAGAAACAAACTGCATATTGATACTTACTGGAGGTCTTATTTTGGCACAGTGAGCTTCTAAGAAGAGTTTTATAAGTTGCTAATAAAATACCTGAAATAAGCATTACAGCAAAACAAGGTTCACGCTAACTTCTTTTCTTGTTTCCTATGCACTTATTGCTATGTGGCTAAACATAATATTTACAGATATAGATCACTTTTATCTTCACTGAGCTTCAATGGCATATAGCCACCATTTTTTTAGAGTTTACAATGTGTCAGGAATGAGGTTAATGGTGTATATCCATTAACATACTTAATCCCTTTAGCCAAATGAAGTATATTATTAGTCTCATTTTACATTTGAGGCAACTGTGGCTCGGAGAAGTTATATAACTTGCCAAAGATAGTAAGATGGAGAGGGGAGATTCAAGACTAAACACTGTGAGCTTAGCCTATGCCAAGTGTTCTGCAATGATTTATTAGATGGATGTAAAATGAGGTCTAGAAAATGGAGGAAAAGAATTTAGAAACAAGAAAGTTTCATGTTTCTCTATTTATGAAAACAATTATACTATGTTACTTCATCAGGACTGCATCTGGTTGTAAGTAAGAAAAAAACTAAACAATATCTTAAATATGAGGTTTATTTCTGTCTCATGTAACCAGAAGTCTTTAGTACATGAATATTGGCTTTGGTTCTGCAGCTTAAGGATGCCAGGGTTGGGGTGCCTCAATTCTCTTCGGCATTCACTCACAGATACAGAATGGCTGCTGTATCGGCAGCCATCACATAGCAAAGAAAGTGAGAAGAGGAAAAGGTGGGGCCTATGTCAGGAAAGCAAATCTCTGACATAAATCTGTAGCTGACTAGATATTAAATATGATTGGTGAAAATTGTGTCACACTGCACACCTGAAGGTGGATATAGTATCATTCCCAAAACAACAAAAAATCCAAGGAATTCCAAATAAGAGTTATTTTAGTAAGGAAGAAAGGATGAATGGCTAATCAGGTGGGTAAATAGCACTGTCTGCCACATTGAACAAGAAAATAATTTGGTATAGCTGAG